GTAGCCCTTGCTCTCCTTCATGCTTCTCAGGTCTACCCACTGTCTGAGGTTGAAGCTCTAGAGCAAATGAGCACTGTGTACATTCCTCTCGTGGTACCCCACCATGTAGCCGTACAGAAAAACCACTCTGTGCATCCAAACCCCCAAATATTATTAAGATTTGCTCCCTTTCTTCTCTGATTTTTAAAAATTATTATCATCTTGGCCAGATCTAGCTATTTAGGTTATCCATGAGTTATACTTTAAATTACACAAAGGTAATACCAGATAAAGAAGAGACTGGATTGCTCACATCAGGTATTCCAAAATATGTTATATATGAATTTGTATGTTTTTAAGATGCTTTTAAAGTGCCTCATGTGTTACAAAATGTCAAAAGATGTGTTACTTATTGTGGGAAATGATAATCTTCACCAAGATCTCTATGTGAACTTGTAGATTAATTTCAGTCAAAAATTATACTTGGATTTAAACATGTCCCTAAGCTTGACCCATCACCATTCCAGGATAATGCATATTAATGGTCACATTGGTTAAGAAAAGATTAAAACTTAATTACTTCTAAATTGGCATCATGCCAATAATTTGTAACATGGTTATTTTAAAGAGCATATAATAAATACCATAAATGCCAGTAGTTTATTATCCTTGATAAATTTTAATATAGATATTCTCTAAATGCTTCCTAAACTTTTCCCTTTGTGCTGATTCAAATAGAAATCTAATGGATCTTTTACATCTATTCAGAGTAATTATTTGTGGAAAAAGCAGTTTACGCTTCATGCAGTCTTATTGCCATGTCTACTTTTCTCACTGTTGTATTTCCAGTGCTGGAATCAGTGCCTGATGAATGATGAATTATTATACGATGTAGAAAAAATTATGATGTAAAGTACTCTGTGGCATATAACCTAAGGATGATAAAGTAAACAAGACTTGTAAGACTTCTGGGTGTACTTAATTAAATCAACCTTCTTAAATCACTGTTCTAACCCAAGAAATTTATGGATGCAAAACAAAGTCTTTGAGAGACCAAGGACTTTGATTCTGAAGGTGCCATCTAAGTATTTTATTGTAATTTTATTTTATTCTAATTTTAATCTAATACAATTACCACCCGTTGGTTAGTTCTGTTTAAAGAGCTTCAAGCTCAAAAATTCAGATGAGAAGGAAGATGCAGCAGGGTTTGACAACTTTGTAAGGCATGAAAAATTAATACATTTAAAATCTAGTTTAGGAAATTCTTGTCCTGAAGAGAGGTTATGGATTTGGCATTATATAAAACCTAATAAAAGTACAAATCAGAATGTTTATTTCAGAGTTCAATTTAAATTCAGATTTAAAAAAATACTCATCACAAAGACAGACAAAATGTAACTAGACTGTGAAGTAACACTTTACTTTCCAAATACGGTTACATATGAAAAATGGGAATGGTTAAAAACATGCATTAACTAATTGAAAACAAGTTGAATATAACATTATTTAGGACTTATTTTTGAATTATATAAGTTCTAATAATAGTGGTGATAAATTTACAATCTTATTCTCCATGCTCTTGGATAGAGTGCATGCAGTGTGAGTGTTGTATGTGAGTGAGAGGGAATGATATGTTGTCAAATGAACCAATTTTCATTAAAACTATTTCTCTGATAAATGACAGGTGGTAGCAACAAAACAAAATGTGTAATGACTAACAATTTTACAGCGTATTCATAGACATAATGGCATAATATGAACTGTTTATATAAATTACTTCATTGACTTTTAACCCTGACAGTTTTATTGGCACATAATTTACATATTATACAAACGAATAGTTCAATTGTTCAGTACATATTACAGAGAAATACACAATATACATTTTTAAATGGTTACTGAACAGATTCAGGGATTAAAAATAAAATTTGTTCGACCAAGAAATTAATTTCTCTAGAAACTTTAAGCTTTGAATAAATCTGAGTAAATGCCTTATTACTTTCTCTTTTTTGAACTCAAATTTTAAAATAAATAGACAACTAATATGATCCCTGTTCTTTTTCTTTAAGCAGTAACTATTCTACATTCTTGAACCTTTTCTCTTCTCAGTAATGGTTTAACTTAATACTTTGGGGACAGCATTGTGCTAGACATTTAGGGGAAAGCAGTAATAAAAATGGATATTTTTTTTCATAGACCTACCTCCACTATTATGTTTCACTTTCTTTCTTTAAGAAAAATTCCTAAATTCCATAGTCTTGGACATCACATAACTTTATATATACTTATCGAAAGAAGGCAGAGTCCTTTTCCAGTGTGTGTGTGTGTGTGTGTGTGTGTGTGTGTGTGTGTAAAATTAAAAACCATAGGGATTATAGTTTTAGAACAGGGCACTTCTGTAGGTATAACATTTGATTACAATGTTATGTAGGTATAACATTTGATTGACAGTACTTATTACTCAAGACTTATGCAACCAATGTCTCTGGTTTTAATTTTTCTTTAGGAAATCAAAAGCTATGAAAAATATTACATTATGTTCTACTCTCTCCCAGTGGAAATTATTTTTTCACTATTGATGATCACAAATATAAAAATTTTTAAATCATTTTATTCGGGGCTCATACAACTCTTATCACAATCCACAAATAGTAAATGTTATATAGCTGACATTCATTTACCAGATGTGACTATTTGTAATTTCTCTAATTCTATTTTATTTTTACTGTTAATTTTATTACACATCTGGTGTCATTTAACCTATACACACCCCACATGCACACATTTAATTTATACTTATTTATATATACATATATAAAATTATATATTCCATGTACTATTTTGGCTTAAAACTGGGATTCTTATTAGTTTGGTAATAACTCTTGAACAAGGGTCAAGACGTGTAAATACAAATATATTTGCATAAGACTAAAATAATCGATAAGTTGTTTGAATGAATAGATAGAGAATTCTATATTTTCAAAATAATTTTATTGGGGGCTCTTAGAGCTCTCTTAATATTCCATACATCAACTGTATCAAGCATATTTGTACATATGCTGCCATCATCATTTACTAAATATTTACTTTCAACTTGAGCCTTTAGTATCAGCTTATTTGTTTTTCCTTCCCTCCCTTCACTCCTACTTTCACGACCCCTGGACAAATTATAAATTATTATTATTTTCATCTTTTATACCGACCAAAGTCTCCCTTCCTGTTGGTTCGTCCCCCTGGAGGGTAGGAGGGTGGGGATATACATTGATCATCTGATTAGTTCCCCTATATAAATAGATAATTCTCATGTTCACATGCATAACTTTTAAAACTGGGGAAACTATAGCAATACAAAAACAAAACTAAAAATAGTATTTTTAATCAATCACATTAAATGGCTAAAATAATAATATTTTTCTTGCTAATAATGAGTTGAAAGTTTTCATTTATATTTTTAGTGCAAATGATATTAAGCAGTTCCCTCTATTTTTCAACTTGAATATTTTCTAAGTAAAATAATCAACACATGAAGTTAAAAAGTTAAAACTTGACAGCATCATTTATTACAGTAATAATCTGTAAACAATCTTAAGAACTTAAAAGACCATTTAAAAATATTATTTGCCACATAATAAATGATGTATTTTTGAAAATAATTGATTAAAAGTTTTTGAAAATATTTTATATGAAGTCAATTAAAACACACACAAAATTTGGTAACTATACCATATTAAGATTTTGCAAATGTAAAAAGAAAAAAATATTTATTGGTAAGAATTTTATGACATGGTTTATTGATAACAAATTTAGCATTTTAGGGCCATATCAAATAATAAACATACGTGCATCAGGCATGCTACTTGTCAGTTGAAATACAGATGAAAAATTATGAACTGGGGTGAAATAAATATACTTTCATATCATTAATATAAATGAGCTGCTTTTCATGGCATACAGACTGATGAATATAGGGCCAGTTTGGACAGAAATATTGTAAGTAAATGCTAATTTCAAGTTTTATTTTATTTAAAATATTATATAATAAAATTAATTTGTCCAAAGTAAAGGAATAAGCAAATGATAAAATGTTAGCTTAATATATGCACTGCTGTTAGTTTTAATGGATAGATAGTTAAAAACTAACAATTAAACATTTAGATTTTAAAAGGACAAGAATGTGACATTTTGACTGTAAATGAAGAGAGGTACAAAATAGAGAGCTGATGTCAATTATTCCTTTAAGTATCTCTCTAAATGAATAACTTACTTGGAAGCTAAGCTACTAAGAAAGGGAAAACTTGAAAGAAATGGGAAAGCTCACTGAAGGAAGGAGGCTGGATTGAATGGGACACCCTGGGTCAATGCCTGCTGGAATGCATGGCTCTCAGCGCAATGCCAGGAGATGTTCAGTTCTGTGAAGATCAGAATGTCCAAAACAATGAGCAGAACTCAGACTGATGAATTGCTTCTCACTGAATCTTCTATTTATGTGTCCTCAAGAAAAGACCGTCAGTGACTCCGACCTGTATCATATCACTCAAACTCCCCTCATGCACCTGCAATGCTGACATTGAAAGTGCACTTTATCCCCAATAACCTAAAGCGTTCTTTCCTTTCATGTTTCTCATAGCTGCCCACAAGTACACAGTTTTTAAACTTGTGGTTTTATGTATTACACCAAAATTGGTGGAATAGTGTCTAATAAATAATTTGTAATCTACATAGAGATTTCTGTGAAAGAAAGGTTCAAGGAAAATGGAACCAAGAAAGTCTCGTGTTCGGGGCTCCTTCATTGTTTCTTGCCTTTTTAAGTTTGAGTTGTTCCAAGTAGAGAGAGAGAACTTTCATTCTAGAAAGGAAATAGGAAGGAAAGTCATCCTGGTAGCAAAGACGCATGCCATGGAAAGTCTTTGCAGCACGACAGAGCCATAGACACTGAAAACTTTCAGTTCCTATCAATTTTGACTCCAACACCTTCTTTCCGCAGACTATTAGTACTTTTTGGCGCTAAATTCTACAAGACAATGGATGGAACCAACAACAGCTCTCAAAAAGGATTTCTTCTCCTGGGATTTTCAGATCAGCCCCAGCTCGAAAGAATCCTCTTTGTCATCATACTGCTGTTTTACATCTTGAATCTTCTGGGGAACACTGCCATCATTTTAGTGTCATATGTGGAACCCAAACTCCATACGCCAATGTACTTTTTCCTCAGCAACTTATCTTGTGTGGACATCTGCTTCACGACGAGTGTTGCCCCACAGCTGCTGGCTACCATGAATAACAAAGATAAATCCATGAGCTATGGCGGGTGCGTCGCGCAGCTGTATGTGGCCATGGGCTTGGGGTCCTCAGAGTGTATTCTCCTGGCAGTCATGGCCTATGACCGCTATGCTGCTGTCTGCCGTCCTCTGCATTACACAACCATCATGCATCCTCAGCTCTGTGCATCCCTGGCCGGGACAGCATGGCTCAGTGGCCTAGTCACTTCCTTAATTCAGTGCTCACTCACTGTCCAGTTGCCCTTATGTGGTCACCGTAATCTGGACCACATTTTCTGTGAGGTGCCAGTGTTGATCAAACTAGCCTGTGTGGACACCACCTTCAACGAGGCAGAGCTCTTTGTGGCCAGTGTGGTCTTTCTAATTGTCCCTGTGTCTCTCATTTTAGTATCATATGGCTTTATAACCCAAGCTGTGCTGAGGATCAAATCAGCTGCAGGGCGCAGGAAGGCTTTTGGGACTTGTTCGTCCCACTTGATTGTGGTCATCATTTTCTATGGGACTATTATCTTCATGTATCTTCAACCCGCCAAAAGCAAGTCCAAAAACCAGGGAAAGTTTGTCTCCCTTTTCTACACCATAGTCACTCCACTTTTAAATCCTATTATTTATACTTTGAGAAACAAAGATGTGAAGGGGGCTTTGAAGACTCTGGTAATGGCAAATATTCTAGGGTAAGAAAGGTTATAAACTGCAGAGGAAATCTTAAAGAGCTAATTTGAGACCACTGCTTAATGATTCTAAGCACTATAGTCTTGAACAATGCCACTTAGAATGAATGTGAGGGGCTAAGCTACGCAGGTCACAGTGATATTTCCTTTTTCTAAAATGCCCTTCTTTGTGAATTGTAAATGTCATCTTCAACCATGCCAACAACTTCCACATCTCCTTATTTCTGCCTGGACTGATGGTTCATAAAGTGAGGATCTACTTATCCTTGAAATCTTAGCGAAAAGGTTACCTGCTCTGCAGCTTTGTTGAAACACAATTTTTCTCACTTTCTGGGCAAAATTGTTTGTATCATAATATATGTTTTCATAGTTGCACACAATGCATTCCTCTATACCTTTGTATATGTATCATTGTTAATACACATTGAAATAATATATTAATGTTTCCCACAATGTTGGATAAAGTTATAGAATGAGAAAACCTTGATATATTGGCTCTTTACAATGCAAAAAAACCCCCCGCAAATTGAATCATATTTTTGATACTTTATACAAAATTAGGGGTTGAAATGATGATTTTGTGATTTTCTTCAAGTAACAAAGCAAGTGAGTTTGAATCAAGCAAATTGATTAATGTAATATTTAGAGTCATTGTATGTTATTTGAAAATATTCTAGTTGACCTTAAATTCTGTACACTGGAATGCAACTTCTTGAATATGTTTATAAGATCATTAACTCAATGAATTACCTTTGATGTTAATCTGAAATAATTGTCTCTGATCCTAAAATCTGTGGAAGGATAAGTTATGTCATTTCATACCCTGAATTTTGAAATATGAAGTCTACACAAACACATTTAATGTTGCTCTTTGTGTATTTGGCTTTAAAGAACAACAACAAAAAGCATGAATTTATTAGCTTCTTAACAATATCTACATTCTAACATTTGACCAGATCTTATTTCCTAATGCAGTTTTATCAAACTCTGCTAAGCTACTGAGCATTAATTTTTCATCTGCAAGAATTCCAAGAGAATCAGATAATAGAGATAGTCTATAATCTTATTTTACTTCCACATTCTATAACTATACGCATAAGTGGGGAAATACCAAAATGCACAGATATTGGAACATAAATAAATGCAAAAGAAAATAAGAGTTGTATGAGCCCCTAATAAAATGATTTTTAAAAAAGAAGAAAAAAAAAAGAAAAGCAGAGTACATGCATGCGCACAGACACACACACCCAAAGAAAGATGGAAATCATGTGAAGACCATCCGAAACAAGAAAAAACCTGAGTGTATACAAACAAGCTTGCAAGTAAGCTTGGTGAAGAAAAATTACACAATTGAAACTCATCTGAATTAGAACTTTGTAGCACTTCCACAGGACCCTTGGTGGTATAATGGCTGCATATTGAACTGCATTGCACAGGTTAGCAGTTCAAAATCACCAGCTGCATAGAGGAAGAAAGATGAGTCTTTCTACTCCCATAAAAAGTTACAGTGTCAGTAACTCATAGGACTGCCCTGTATTATAGGGTTGCTTTGAGTTGGCATCAATTCAATGGCAGTGAAAGAAGCTACATGCCCATGTAAGTAGCCTTCAAAATGCAAATAACATGTTGCATTGGGACATTTTCTATGAAAGAAATCTTAAAATTTGGAAGGCAAAGGTGTCACTTTGATGATGAAGATTTGTCAAGGCATTGTCTTTGAACAAGATTAACAGGTTTATGAAAGCTATGTAAGATTTTGTAACAAGGCAGAAGATGAATCCATGCATTTGAACTGTAGGATTAATGAAGAGCATTGGATATATATTGGGCATACAGAAGGAAAAAAAAAAACTTAGTCCTGAGTGCAATATAACAAGAATCCAGAATGCTTCTTAGAAGTAAAAATGACCATACTTCATCTTACTCACTTTGGATGCATGATCAGAAAAGACAAGAAAATGACAGCATGTTTGGTAAAACAGGATCAGTGAAACATGAGAAATATCCAGTAGTTGGATGTACAAAGTGACCACAGCCATGGACTTAGAGTTCGAAACTCTAGTGATGATAGTACAGGGCTGGGGAATGTAGACTTTGATTTCTTTTATATACAGGTGCTATGAGTCAGAGCTAACTTGAGAGCCACTAACTATAACAACACCATCTAGAAAGGTTAAGAGTAAAAATCGACCAAGCTATATTGCCAGATCATGCAGTTAAGGATAATGGTTGTACAATAAAAAAATAATTAAAAAAAAGAAATAAGAAGAATTTTCATGTTCCCAGGATAGTTTCCTCAAAATGCCTTGTTCAGATTACTACCTATGAAAATCAATGGTGGGTGTTGGAAAAGCACCAGAGGGCCAGCACGCTGGCTGGCAAGGCTTTCCTGGGAGACTCAGGAAAATTCTCTATGTGAGAATCCACTCAATCCCCCGATTATTGTAAACCAAAATAATGACTGTTCCATTTCGCAAGAGCAAAAAGAATATAAGTCTGAACAAATTTGTGTTCTACAATATACTTATGTGAATTATTTCTCACTAATGATATGAGTCCTAAATGGAGCATGGGACAGATGTACTCTCACTTATAGTAACAAAGGAAAAAAATTCTACAGTGGATGTGGTATAATTGCATAATCTTCTAATGCCCAGAAAATTGTGCCCTAGGGAAAAGTATATCTGTTTCAGGTTTTCAGTCAATTTAAATAAAATCTGGAGTTTATGACATAAAATGTAAAATTTTTATAACAAACAGGCTGAAATGATAAGGCAAATGTGTAAATTAGCAAGAAAATAAATAGAACACAATTAAAAGTCACTTAAAGATAATGCAGGACAAGATTACCATTGAAGAACATGAGATGACCAACATGCACACTAAATCAAACATTAACATATTTCAAGAGCAAAAGTGTAAATGCAATTAAAAATGAGATACTAAATACATGAAAAAAACTAGAAAATGAACAATAAATCTTATAAAAGAAGCTGAATAAAATTAATTCACAGTAGAGAAAATTGAAAACACATTGAAAGATTCTGTTCCTATTTTTTAACCCAGATTTTAAAACATCTATTGATGTTTTCAAAAACATATATACATCAATACCATATTTTTCACTTAATATATATAATTTCTCTTATAATTGAATAAGCTTCAGAAAACACCCACATTTTGCAGCTCACACAAAATGGCAGTTACTTAATTTCTAGATTGCTACATGTGAGCCTCACAGAACGTCAGGTTTTTAGAGCAAAGTGTCCTTGCATTGAAGCAAGGCTTGAATTGATTTAGGTGATTGAAAATACCATGGCTTGAGTCGGGTTCACCATACTTAAAATAACATCCTTCTTCTTCAACATTTTGAAGAGGTCTGAATAGCATATTACTCCAATGCAATACATCCTCTTATCACTTAACTGCTGCTTCCATGAGTATTGATTGTGGATTCAACTTTTCCCTGTTTATCATGATGTTCTTATTGGTCCAGCTGTGAGGATTTTGGACTTCTGTACATTTAACTATAATCCACACCGAAGGCTGCAATTCTTTATCTTCATCATGCAGAGCTTCAAGCATTTCTCATTACTAGCAAACAAGATTGTGTGTCATCTGAATAGCACAGATTGTTATTAAACCTCCCTTTGATCTTAATGTTGGATTCTTCTTCATATAATCCTACTCCTCTGATTATTTTCTCAGCATATAGATTGAATATGTATGGTGAGGGGATATAACCCTGACATACACGTTTTCTGATTTTAGATCATGGAGTACTTGTATTGTAGTGGTTACATTGATCTGCTAACTACAGGCTATCAGTTCAAAACCACCAGCCACTCCACAAAAGAAAGAAAGGTTTTCAACGCCCTTAAAGAGTTAGAGTCTTGGAAACTCACCAGAGCAATTTTACCCTGTCCAATAGGGTTCTTAGAATCTGCATCGAATCTATGGCATTGAGAATATTCTCTTGCTGTGCTTTCAAAACTGCCTCTTGATCCATGTACAAGTTCCACATAAGTAGAATGAAATAATCTGGGATTACTGTTTTTATCAAGGTGTATTAGACTAGAGAAACAAAACCAGGACCCTTATGAATATATATATACAGAGAGAGAGAGAGAGAAAGAGAGAGCATGAAGGAATATAACAGCTAATTAGTCCACACAGCAGTACAGAGGGCTCAGTTCAACTCAATTCCGTGGAACAGTTAATATACTGGAAGTCCTTCACCTCATGAGGGATGCTGCAGGGTCCAAGGTCAAGGAAGCAAATAGATGAGTCTTCTGTAGAGCAATACAGGCAGTCCGTCCACAGGCAGCAAACAGCAGGGTGGGTCACCAACAGTCAGTCAGATGACAGGATCTGATAGTTCCCAGCTCAAGAGATGTATACACCAGCAGAATGGCGAAGCAGGTCTATAAGGAACCTCAAGCACTAGCAACACGGTCAATGGGTTGGGTGTCCCACAGGTATTGTAGCTGACAAGTTGAGACAACCTAGCTAAGGCAGCCTCATGCTGGTCCAATCACCAGAGAGCAAGAGAGACACAGGCGGGGCTTGCTGAACGATTTATCTCTTTGCCCTCCAATCAAATTGTGACCTTATTAATCCCACATGTTCCCATTGGCCAGGTTGGCACAATAAACCTACCTATCACAGTCCACCCCTTTCTAACTTGACACCTATAAACAATTCTTTAGCCATGTATAATTTCCAGAATTTAATGAAATCACACTTATACCTAACATCTATCATACATATAAATAAAAACACACTGAATCTAATTGTATCTGGTATATCAATCATGAACAAAGGGAAAATATTAAATAAGCACATATAAAGAAAATAAACTGACAATCATAAACCTCACTTTTACAATTGGTCACTTGGTTGTAACTGATAGGTAGAACTACCTTCTCCTATTACATATTCTGTATTACATTTCTCCTGGGGCAGCACCTCAACTGGCCACGGTTCTTTGCCTGGAGGGGTGACCCA